AATTCCCAATTTTTTTGTTTTTGCCTGTCTTGTCCTGTAGATCCATGATTCAAGCTGCAATTATGAAGCCTTTATGAATGTTCTCAAACTAACTGACAGAGTGGCAGAGCTGGAAGCTGTGAAAGACAAGACTATGGAGGGGCTGCAGTTCCTTCGCTCCTTAGACACTGCTGGAGATGGTAGGCCTGTGAAAAGCCTCTTTCTAAACTAATAAGAATTGGCAATGCAACATAAGGCTTTATCAAACCATTTAACCGTAGCAAAAAAAAAATACTTATAACATTAGAAAGTTTGCAAAGAAAATAAAACCCTCCAGTTTTATTTGGTTGCTTATAGCTCATTGATGCAATGATTTCTTCTGGCTTACGGTATTATTTTGAAGGAATGTTAGCTGGAGTCTGTGACAGCGGTGTAGCTCTACAGCTTGTCCCAGACACCTGCAACACTTTACTGGAAAGATATGCCTGCTGGTCTGAGCCATCAGTGCAGTCCTCTCATGTTCTACTTGTCATATGTGAATACAGCGTTCCATGTTACACTTTTCTTAATTTCACCTTGCACAAAAGAGAAACAATCACTTTATTCATGGACATCAACTGTTACAGTACCTCTATGTCTTTGTCTAATCCCTTCTGATCTTTTTTTTCCAGACATTAATATAATTAAGAACCAGATTAACAGTCTGCTATTTGTGAAAAAAGTTTGTGAGACCAGAATACAGAGGCTGCATTCTGGAAAGGTAATGCAGAACAGTTCTGTGCTTTGAAAGACATCTGTTTACAATAAGAAGCAGCATCCTTGACAGTCATTGGTATTATCCCAGAGAGTTAAATAATATAATAATAATTTAAGAAAAGTTTAAGAATAATACTATTTGATATTATAGAAAGAATCTATTAATTTATTAATGCTTTTAGCGACATTTAATTTGGTCATTTTTTACTATAGCAACACACGCTTCATGTATATAGTGACAAAAACAGTTAAGAATAGTTTTATTTAATGTACAAAATTGATGTAACTGTTCAGTAGAATAGATTTTAAAAAGGGAATGTAGCCAAAAGAATGAACTCCATTTTGGATAATCTATAAAACTAGACAGTCTAGTTCTGTATTCAAGGTAAAAATGGTTCCTGGTAAAACATGCAAATTTATGTCAGCTTTAATTCAGCAATGTCTGCTGAACCATTGGTGATTAAATAGTACCCTTTGTAGCACGTCTGTTTTTTAATGAATGCACTACATTATAAAGAGTTTTTTTCTTTGTTTTTTTGTAGGAATTAGACACTTTTAAACTTGCTGCAAACTTTGGGAAACTCTGCATAATTCCTCTGGAGCATATCTTAGTGCACAACATTGCACTTCAGTTCTTCATGGGTAAGTATTTGAAATATGTTTTTTACAGCACTGAATGTGCATCTTCCTGCCAAGTGTTCGGGACCATGAACACCTGCCTTTTTATTGTGCAGCGCTGAACAACGAGATTGTCCTGCTTGAACATATAATTTGCTAGTGTGCACAGAGAAGAATACTACCTTTGCACTTTTGGTTAGATAGTTTTTAAAACCCCTCAGTTTTTGTTACAACTGTTGATGTGTGAATTCAGCACAGGCTTTAACCTGGAAAAATGTGTGGTTACATTATGAAACGTGAGCCTATTCTGCTCTGGGGCATTGTAAAAATGAACTCCTCAAAAATGCTGGAGATGATGAAACCTAGAATTTAGTGGTTGTAGCTCTGTTCTGTTTGTATTCTGTTTTGAAGGTTAGTGTCACAGTTAAATTTCCACACCAGTATCTTATTAGAAACAGACTTTAAAAAGTGCTGGGCAAACCATCTTCATTTACTACCTTACTATAAATTCTAATCATAATGTACTTATGTTGGCTGATTAAAAACACATACTGCTAAGCCCTAGAAGAATGATTGGCCAGCCACCTGCTGAGATGCAGATGGGTGTGTGGCAACACTGAGAGCATTAATATGAAAAACAGTCTGTTTGGGAGGAAAACTGGAAGGATGATCACTGCATATTGGAAGTGACAGAGCTGGGGACTCCTATTCCTTGGTTTTGGACAGGAATGAGGAAGGTGGGGAAAGCACGAGACCCAGACTGTGTGTTTGTGTCTTGCTGCAGTGACTGAACTAAGTTCCTTCCTGTGTTTTATTTATAGCCTGCATTCCAAAGTTGTTTTGCCGTACAGTGCAGACAGATTTATTTCATTACTGTGTTTTTTTTAACTGCAGCCGACTGGTGGGTTAGTTAACTGGGAAAGGACAGCTGAAACGTTGGCTTCAAGAGATTCACTTTGTGAATGATGCGATGGCATGGAAAATAGAGTGATAGGGCCAGTTCTCGCGGTATGTGGGTTGCGGCGCTGGAAGAGGCTCGCGACATAGTGTGGCAACAGTGTACAGAGGTCTCGAGGCCACCTGGATCAAACTGGACTTTAGCACTGGGGCTTGAAGTGCTCTGTGGGCTTTCTGATGCTCATGTCCGTGTTCGAGACGTGCGAAACGGCTTGGGGCCGGTGGAGCTGCAGGAGTGACAAGAGGCGGCGGCTCAGAGGCGAATGTCTTTCGCAGATTACATGCAGCAGACGGGCGGGCAGGCGGACCTGTTCTTCTGGCTGACGGTGGAGGGGTACCGGGTCACGGCCCAGCAGCAGCTGGAGGTCCTGCAGAGCTGGCAGAAGGATGGGAAGAGGCAGACCAGCCAAACCAAGGGCTTGCTGAAGGCGGCCGCGCTCGGCGTGTACGACCAGTACCTGTCCGACAAGGTGGATCATCCCGAGCGGCACAGGCCTTTCACAGCTACTTCTTTTCCTCTGCAGTTTTTCTTGCTCCGTCCAAGAGCGGCTCTGTCTGGGGCAAGAGCAGTCCTGGGCCCTGCCCCGCCGCCGCGGCCCAGCGACCCTCGGCCACAACACGTGGCTTCCTGGATATTAACTGTTAAAGTACCAGGTTTCAGTCCGCGGTTTCCTGACTGGTAAATGCACGTCCCGTAACATAAAACAAAAGGCGATTCCTAAAAAAATGGTTCATACCAGTCAGTGTCTGAAAGCCACATAGTTCCATTGCAGGAGAATGTGGGGAATTCACTCTGCATGTTGCTAAGAATGTAAGGAGGACATAAGATTCGTTACGAAACGAGAGGAGGTCATTCAGCCTGTCTGGCCCATTTTGTAGTTAGTATGTAATTGATCCCAGGATGTCGTCCGGCTGTTTGTTGAAAGGAGCCAGGCTATCGGCTTCAACAGCATGGCTGGCCAACTCGTTTCACACTCCCACTTACTCTCCGCGTAACGAACGCCTCCGGCGCGGGTTTTTTAGTGCACTTCAATGTCCCCCTCAGGTTGGCTTTTCATTCCGAAAAGAGCTGCTGGTTAGTTCCGTCAGTTCCTTTGAGGATTTTGAATGCTTCTTCAGTCTTGACACAGCAGTTAACGCCGATAAAGGAATATGCATGCACGAGGTTTACAGCTGCAGCACACCTTTGTTTGTTGTGTTGTACAGAGCCTTGGGATGAAGTGCCATGTAAGGCGCTGTATAAAATAAAATTTGAATAACAATCCGTGACCTCGTATAGGATAAGTGTCCGCCTGTGCTCTTGACAGGTATGTGATGCTTCCAGCTCCCCATGGCTTCGTTAATGGATATCAGTGTCCTTGGAACTGGGGCGTGAGAGCTAGACGTGCTGTGCTTACTAAAATGGAACTGAAGATGATGACTTGAAGTGAATTAATGTT